GCACAGAGACTGGAAAGGTAAAGTGTGGAGGTGGAAGAAGGGAAGGAAGGAGCCTCAATAAGGTTAAGGCAAGATGGAGGTTGACTGCAAGATGTATTAGAATGGTCGTCGGCACCACTGACTGGGCATTCAGCTATAGATCTGCAATATTTCACTGGGTGACCAAAACGCCAGCAATTTCTACACTGTTGCGGTGTAGGGATTACCTTTCGAACTTGTAACCGATGTCCCGCGACATAAACAGAGGACGGGAGTTCACGGCTGTCGAAAGTTAATCGAGCCACATTGCAAGGGTAATGTCTCTGCCCGCAGGCAGGAAGGACATAAGTGTCTACTTTGAGGATTGGGAGATCCTGTTCAAGAATGTTATTGCCACATGACTGGAAATTCTGAACATTAAAATGGTATGAAATACCGACAGGTTGTTAGGTAAGACACATATGCAACAGTTAGGTATCTTTATTTCGAAACGTTTCGCCTACACAGTAGGCTTCTTCAGTCGAGTACAGAAAAGTTGATAGAAGCAGAAGATACTTGAAGACGATGTAATCAACTTTTCTGTACTCGACTGAAGAAGCCTACTGTGTAGGCGAAACGTTTCGAAATAAAGATACCTAACTGTTGCATATGTGTATTACCTAACAACTGGAAATTCTGTTGGACTATGGTATGGGGCAGAATGACAGTACCACTACAAGAATTGAGAGAAAGATGTTTTTCAATAGTGATAGGAATAGTATTGATATGCGAAAGGAGAGAAAGATCATGAGCTTGGGTAGCATTCTGGACAGTGACGATGCGTGTACCGCTCTTGAGAGCATGGAATGAAATATCTCTACCAACATGACGCAGGAGCGCTTTGCCAATACTGTGGTCAGAAAGATAGGCAGAAAAAGAAGTCGGTCTTAAAGTAAATAATTTAGTCAATTGCGTGGTCCGAAACAGAGCGTGCAGAGGAAGTGCATGACGTGTCGGTCTTTTCCGAGTAGAATGGGAAGGTGATGAAGGAACATCACCAGTAGATTGTCGTTGGCGTTTAGGAGTAGGACCGAAGTTGGTCCATCGTGAAACGGGCTGGCGATTCGAAAATTGCTGTACCATAGAGGGAGAGGCCGGAAGCATAGTCAAAGGAGAGTGGAGGTCAGACAAATCGAAGGAGTCAGTCGAAGCCCCTGTACTTGAAGCGGGTGAGGAAACAGCACCAGCAAGAGGTACAGGGGCATCAGGAGTGTCCGAAGAGTGGTCAAAAAACAAGGCAGGGTCAGAATGGGGTGCGGTATCAAGAAGGGCCCGGGGGTAGTGGGTTCATGGATTGGGTTCTCCATGGGTTCTCTTTGCTTTTTGTTTTTAAGAAAAAAAAAGAAAGAAGAAAAGAAAAGAAAAAGAAAAAAAGAATAAAAAAAAAAGGGGGGAGCGGGAAGGAATAGTTCCCAGGAGGAATGAAAGGGCTGGAAATCTCCCTCTGTGCCCAAGAGGACCTCAGCACCGCTAGTAGCGCAGATGCAGCATGGAACCCATGCCATACCCTACCCTTCATGCCAGTAAACCAGTAATCCGGGATAGCAACCTCACATCTGCCGAGCTACTTCGGTGGACAAAAGAGAGGGCGGCCGCATATCCACCACAAAGCATACCTCCTTCGGCCACCACTCCCGGAATCCGAAAGGTGGCTTCCAGAGATACACCCGTCGCTCGAAAGACAGCCAAAGCCACTCTCCAGGATACCGGAGAGGGATCGGGACATCGCCAGGGGATCCAGATTCCACGGCAAACTACGCCACCGCCAAGAACCTCAACGGAATGGGATGGACCCCGGTACCCTTTCCCCTACCTAGGAACTAGCGCGCCTGTGGGAAAAATCCCAAAGGCCAAAAAGAGGAAGAGCAAGGGAGGGGTGGGGAGGAGGGGATAGGGAAGGGGGGATTGGGGGGTAATTAGGTTCGGTCTGAGGAAGGAGACCGACAGGTCTAATTCCTCAGACCAAGAGCCTCTTCACCACGACAAGGAGCCCCCTTGAAGAGGAATGAAACTGCAAATATCGAACTTAAGCTGAATAAATTTATAGGAAACTAGAATCATAAGAAGAACTAAAAGCCATAAAGGAAATTGAAAAAAAAAATACTTCTTATCTTATGCCAAATCTAAGGGAAAATCATCATCCAGTATTGGGCCCCTGCTTAGGAGGGATGGGACATACACAGTTGATAGCCAAGAAATGAGTGAGATACTAAAGTTCCAATATGACTCAGTGTTCAGCGAGCTAGTGCCCACTCTAAGAGTCGACAACCCAAATGAATTCTTTATGAACGAAACCCAGAATTTGGTCATCCCAAAAATCTCGGATATTATTCTAGCTCCACAAGACTTTGAAGAGGCAATTAATGACATGACTATGCACTCTGCCCCAGGCCCAGACTCGTGGAACTCCGTGCTCATCAAGAATTGCAAGAAGCCCCTACCGCGTGCCTTCAGCATTTTATGCAGAGGGAGCATGGACACAGGGGTCATCCCACACACACTAAAAACAACAGACATAGCCCCACTCCACAAAGGTGGCAGTAAAGCAATTGCAAGGAACTACAGACCATTAGCACTAAAATCCCATATCATAAAAAACTAAGAGGGTTCTAAGAAGCAAGATAGCCAACCACCTAGATACACAACCCAGGGCAACACGGGTTTAGAGCAGGTCGCTCCTGCCTGTCCCGGCTACTGGACCACTATGACAAGGTCCTGGATGCGGTAGAGGATAAACAAAATACAGATGCAGTACACACAGACTTTGCAAAAGCTTTCGACAAGTGTGACCATGGTGTAATAGCACACAAAATTCGTTATACAGGAATAACGGGAAAAGTTCGTAGATGGATCTACAACTTCCTGACAAATAGAACACAAAGAGTAATAGTAAACAGAGTAAAGTCCCAGGCAGCCATGGTAAAAAGCTCTGTTCCACAAGGCACAGTACTCGCTCCCATTCTTTTCCTCATCCTCATTTCTGACAGACAGAGAAATAAGCCATAGCTCCGTGTTTTCCTTTGCGGATGACACCTGGATCACCATGGCAGTGACCTCCATCGAAGACACCGCGAGACTCCAAGCGGACATCAACCAAATCGTCGAATGAGCCACTCAAAACAATATGGAGTTCAACGAAGAGAAATTTCTACTCAGATATGGGAAACTTTAAGAAATTAAAAATGTGTCAGGGTATACCACAAATTCTAACCATACAATAGAGCGGAAAAGTAATGTGAAGGACCTAGGAGTGATAATGTCAGAGGATCTCGCCTTCAAAGATAACAACAATGTATGTACCTTATCCGCTAGGAAAATGATAGGATGGATAATGAGAACCTTCATAACTAGGGACGCCAAGCCCATGATGATTCTCTTCAAATCGCTTGTGCTCTCTAGGCTGGAATACTGCTGAACACTAACGGCCCCCTTCAAGGCTGGCGACATTGCAGACCTGGAGAGTGTACAAAGAACTTTTACGGCATACGATAAGGCACTTAAACTACTGGGAACGGTTGAAGGTCCTTGATCTGTATTCCCTCGAATGCAGGCGAGAGAGATACATGATAATATACACTTGGAAGGTCCTGGAGGGATTGGTACCAAACCTGCACACGAAAATCACTCCCTTTGAAAGCAAAAGACTCGGCAGGAGATGCAACATTCCCCCGATGAAAAGCAAGGTCGCCACGAGTACACAGAGACATAAGTGTCTGGGCCCATACATAAGGGGGATTACCAATAGACCCCTGGTTCTCTTCAAGAAGGCACTGGACAGGCACCTAAAGTCAGTACCTGACCAACCGGGCTGCGGTTCGTACATCAGCTTGCGTGCGGCCAGCAGTAAAAGCCTGGTTGATCAGACCCTGATCCACCATGAGGCCTGGTCTCAGACAGGGTCGCGGGGGCGTTGACTCTCGAAACCCTCTCCAGGTAAACTCCAGGTGTTTTGGCATTCTCATTGTAAATAATTTTTTCATGTTAATCAGTCATTTTAAGTTAATTTTTATTCTTCACTTTCACTGCGTTTTTCTTCCCTTTTCAGCCTCACTATTAAATTTACTTCTTTATTTATCTGCTTCAACAAACAAACATTCACTTTTGTCCTAATCAGTTTTACATTTCCTGATTTTAATATAATTTAACTTTCTTTCACTTTTTGTAGAACCTACGTATAACCTAGCATGTATTTTGTAGAACCTACGTATAACCTAGCATGTATTTTGTAGAACCTATGTATAACCTAGCATGTATTTTGTAGAACCTACGTATAACCTAGCATGTATTTTGTAGAACCTACGTATAACCTAGCATGTATTTTTTAGAACCTACGTATAACCTAGCATGTATTTGTAGAACCTACGTATAAAACCTAGCATGTATTTTGTAGAACGTACGTATAACCTAGCATGTATTTTGTAAACCTACGTATAACCTAGCATGTATTTTGTAGAACCTACGTATAACCTAGCATGTATTTTGTAGAACCTACGTATAACCTAGCATGTATTTTTTAGAACCTACGTATAACCTAGCATGTATTTTGTAGAACCTACGTATAACCTAGCATGTATTTTTTAGAACCTACGTATAACCTAGCATGTATTTTTTAGAACCTACGTATAACCTAGCATGTATTTTGTAGAACCTACGTATAACCTAGCATGTATTTTGTAGAACCTACGTATAACCTAGCATGTATTTTGTAGAACCTACGTATAACCTAGCGTGTGTTTTGCATCAACACTTTCTTCCGCAGCACTTTCAGCCTTCATGCTCACATTATCAGCCTTCATGCTCACATTATCAGCCTTCATGCTCACACTATCAGCCTTCATGCTCACACTATCAGCCTTCATGCTCACACTATCAGCCTTCATGCTCACACTGTCAGCCTTCGTGCTCACACTTTCACCAATAGTCATGACAGTAGCCTCTCAATTTAACCATCATTATCAGGTTGCACTTGGCCAGTGACTTACCTTTATAAGAACGAGGATGATGATGACCATGACTGCCACACCTACAACCACCCCAACAGTATATACCCAAAAAGGTGCTTCTTTGGGTGGGGGAGATGGAGCAACCCATCCCCTGGGTACCAGACTCACCCATGTATCAGTGCTGAAAGTGAAGTACAGCTACATAAAACATATACATAGATAGATAGATAAATAGATAAAGATAGAAATCTGCATCCTAGCAATCCCTTTTTACTGTATTTCAGAAATTAAATGTAGAGAGGTACATGTAGTGCTGACAAATTTAAGAAATAGTCTTAGTCTGAATACTGAATCAGTCCGGTCATCGTCTGGTGACTGACATGTTCCGTCCGGTCATCGTCTGGTAACTGACATGTTTCGTCCGGTCATCGTCTGGTAACTGACATGTTTCGTCCGGTCATCGTCTGGTAACTGACATGTTTCGTCCGGTCATCGTCTGGTAACCGACATGTTTCGTCCGGTCATCGTCTGGTAACCGACATGTTTCGTCCGGTCATCGTCTGGTAACTGACATGTTTCGTCCGGTCATCGTCTGGTAATTGACATGTTTCGTCCGGTCATCGTCTGGTAACTGACATGTTTCGTCCGGTCATCATCTGGTAACTGACATGTTTCGTCCGGTCATCATCTGGTAACCGACATGTTTCGTCCGGTCATCGTCTGGTAACCGACATGTTTCGTCCGGTCATCGTCTGGTAACCGACATGTTCCGTCCGGTCATCGTCTGGTAACTGATATGTTCCGTCCGGTCATCGTCTGGTAACTGATATGTTTCGTCCGGTCATCGTCTGGTAACTGACATGTAATCCGGCCATCGTCTGGTAACTGACATGTTCCGTCCGGTCATCGTCTGGTAACTAACATGTTCCGTCCGGTCATCATCTGGTAACTGACATGTTCCGTCCGGTCATCGTCTGGTAACTGACATGTTCCGTCCGGTCATCGCCTGGTAACTGACATGTAATCCGGTCATCGTCTGGTAACTGACATGTTCCGTCCGGTCATCGTCTGGTAACTGACATGTTCCGTACGGTCATCGCCTGGTAACTGACATGTAATCCGGTCATCGCCTGGTAACTGACATGTAATCCGGTCATCGTCTGATAACTGACATGTTCCGTCCGGTCATCGTCTGGTAACTGACATGTTCCGTCCGGTCATCGTCTGGTAACTGGCATGTTCCGTCCGGTCATCGTCTGGTAACTGACATGTTCCGTCCGGTCATCGTCTGGTAACTGACATGTTCCGTCCGGTCATCGTCTGGTAACTGACATGTTCGTCCGGTCATCGTCTGGTAACTGGCATGTTCCGTCCGGTCATCGTCCCGGTAACTGACATGTTCCGTCCGGTCATCGTCTGGTAACTGACATGTTCCGTCCGGTCATCGTCTGGTAACTGGCATGTTTTCCCTCCGGTCATCGTCTGGTAACTGACATGTTCCGTCCGGTCATCGTCTGGTAACTGACATGTTCCGTCCGGTCATCGTCTGGTAACTGGCATGTTCCGTCCGGTCATCGTCTGGTAACTGGCATGTTCCGTCCGGTCATCGTCTGGTAACTGGCATGTTCCGTCCGGTCATCGTCTGGTAACTGGCATGTTCCGTCCGGTCATCGTCTGGTAACTGACATGTTCCGTCCGGTCATCGTCTGGTAACTGACATGTTCCGTCCGGCATCGTCTGGTAACTGACATGTCCGTCCGGTCATCGTCTGGTAACTGACATGTTCCGTCCGGTCATCGTCTGGTAACTGACATGTTCCGTCCGGTCATCGTCTGGTAACTGACATGTTCCGTCCGGTCATCGTCTGGTAACTGACATGTTCCGTCCGGTCATCGTGTGGTAACTGACATGTTCCGTCCGGTCATCGTCTGGTAACTGGCATGTTCCGTCCGGTCATCGTCTGGTAACTGGCATGTTCCGTCCGGTCATCGTGTGGTAACTGGCATGTTCCGTCCTGTCATCATCTGGTAACTGGCATGTTCCGTCCGGTCATCGTGTGGTAACTGGCATGTTCCGTCCGGTCATCGTCTGGTAACTGACATGTTCCGTCATGGGACAATGGCTACTACACCGCCACATGTGTTATTTCATGAAGGTGTGTTTCAGATAATATTTAACAAACAAATAAAATTACATACGTTTATAGTTGTGGTTCACAGAACCGACACGTTGATAAATTAGACACATGTGCAACTCTTGGGTATATTTATTAAGGAAACGTTTCGCCACTTTTATAAATATATTAAACAACCACGTTGATATCATGCATCCCTGAGTCTTACTTTTACTGGGAAATAATCTCTCTCTTCTACATACCCTAACCTGAGCCTCACTATCCTTGTAAAACTCCTAACTGCTTTCAGTAACCTACCACCTATTTCATATATTTGTAATATCTGCCACATTGCTCATTTAGCCACTATCATATGCCTTTTCTAAATCCATAAATGCAGCGAAAACTTTTCACCCATATCTAAATACTGTTGGCTTATTTATTCACTGTAAACACCTGGTCTACACACCCCCTACCCTTTCTAAAACCCGCTCGTTTATCTGCAGTCCTGATCTTTATTATACTCTTAATTATTTCAATAATGACTACCATACAACTTATCAGGTATAATTAACAGGCGTATTTCTCTAAATTTTTACACTCTCTTTTGCCTTTATACAAAGGAAGTATGCATGCTCTCTTTGAATCCCTTAGTACCTGCCACTCTTCCATTTATTTTATTAACACATCAGCCGCTTCTCACCAAGGCAGGGTGACCCGAAAAAGAAGAAACACTTTCATCATCATTCACTCCATCAGTGTCTTGCCAGAGGCGTGCCAACACTAAAATTAAAAAATGCAATATATCAACATCCCTCCTTCAAGCACTGTACTTCCCACCTCAAGGACTGAAGTCCGGCAAACCAGTTTCCCTGAATCCCTTCATAAGTGTTAATTCGCTAACACTCCAACAGCACGTCTGGTCATAAAAACCATTTGTCTCCATTCGTTCCTATTTAACATAGTCACGCACACATGCTGGAAGTTAAAGCCCCTCACACGCAAGATACTGCTATATTTCTAGTTAATTTTTTTTCTTGTATTGGTGGTGTTGGTGGACACTGTGTGGTTAATTAGCAACGTACCTCAAGGTGGTGGAGAGATCACTGTTGAAACTGTTCCTGAGGGTAGCCCAGGTATTTATAGCGACAGTGGTGTTGGGACCATATCGTGCTGTTGAACAGTGATGGAGGAAGAAATGAAGATTAGTGATGGAGATCGATATTTTAAATATTTGAATAAGTAGTTTTTATTTGTAATTTGGACGAGTTCAACAGTAACCTTTTATGCACATTGCACAAATAAATGCATTCACAGTAAAGCAGTCTTCTAAAACACACACTATATATGTAACATCAACTATGAAAGAGAAACAATAAAAGTCACTGGAAAATTTTACGATGGAAATAAATGGTATAAAATACCGACACAATGGAAATATAAACACACATGCAGTATAATGTGATCCTTTATTCACTGATAAGTCACAACAAGAGGAGGCCACAATTGGCGTTTTGTCTCTTCATGAGTTATTGTCATGTAACATTTGAGCAAGACCAGAAGTCAGGGAACGAGAAAAGGAAGTGGGTGGGTGGTGGGTGGTGGTGGTGGTGGTGTAGACAGCCTGTACTGTCTGCACAGACAGTACAGGCTGTCTGCCAGCTTAGTTCATATTTCGCGCCACTAAAGTGCTGCCCTCTGGGCCTGTCCAAGTCTGTGGGAAGCTGGTCCCACACTCACTCACAGAGCGGCCTAGCAGGAAGACACAAGGCCTACTAGCTCTCTCCTCTCGTGGGATGGCCCTGCCCGGGCCATGGGCATAACACACAAGCCTGTGTACCCAACACGGCTTTACAAATAAAGTTAAGAAGCCTCCGAAGACTACCAGTTCACCAAATAATCTCGTCGTGGTGGTGGTGGTGCATGCCCTTTATCTCCGGGACTAGTTTTGTTGCAAACCTTTGCAACAAGACTAGACATACTTGACCTGGGGTGCGTTTCAAACTGGTGTTGCATACTCCAGTATGGGCCTGACTTACACGGTGTACGGGGGTCTTGAACGATTCCTTACTGAGGTGTCGGAATGCTTTTCTTAAGTTGCTAAGCGCCCATATGGTGCACCAGTTATTTGGATGATGTGCGTCCAGCAGTAACAGCCTGGTTGATCAGGCCCTGATCCACCATGAAGCCTGGTCACAGACCGGGTCCCGGGGGCGTTGACCCCCGGAACTCTCTCCAGGTAAACGTCACAGATGTGCTCGGTATTATACTCACCCCAAGATCCTTTTCCTTGGCCCCTTGTCTGCCGTCTTCTTTGCCCTTCCCGATCTTCAAGACTTTGCACTTGGTGGGGTTGAAGTCCAGAAGGCAGTTTCTGGACCAGGTCTGTAGCCTGTCTAGATCCCTTTGCAGTCCTGCCTGGTTTTCCTCCGATTGAATTCTCCTCATTAACTTCACATCGTCTGCAAACGGACAATTCTGAGTCTATTCCTTCCCTCATATCATTTAAATATGCCAGAAACAGCATGGGTCCTAGGACTGACCTCTACGGAACCCCGCTCGTCACAGGCCCCCCCACTCTGACACCTAGTCCCGTACCATGACTCGCTGCTGCCTTCCCGTCAATTATTCTCTGATATATTTCAGTTCCTTCCCTGTTATACCTGCCTGGTCCTCCAAGTTTTGCACTAGTCTCTTGTGTGGAACTGTGTAAAAAACCTTCTTACAGGTCAAGAAAATACAGTCTACTTACCCCTCTCTCTTGTTTCACTCCCGGTTTTCTTGAGTCCTTTGCCTTTTATACTTCTTTCATGCTCTAGCACACTTAGCCTCTCCACACCTCCGGGTGAACCATGGGCTCACTCTGGTTTTCCATTGTTTTGTTTGCCCCTTGGCACGAATTTCTTCTCTGCACTTTGTCGTCATGTGTTCCATTATTTCGTTGACTGTCCTCCCATCTGTCTCTCTTACCCATGCTTTCTTATGCAAGAAATTGGCCTATGTGTGTAGCGACCTTTTCTGAAGTTGGGCTTGTCTAGTCCTTGTGCTGCCCTAACTCTTTATTGTTAACTCCACTATGTATTCGAAACTCAGGACCGCGTCATCGCTAGCACCAAAGGGTGTTTCGTGTATGCTTTCCTCTGTCTCAACTGTTCCAGGTGATAAAAAGGTCCAACCTTGCTGGTTCATCAACTCCTATATCTCTGGTGTGTCCTAACATGTTTGTACATGAAGCTTTCCAGCACCACCTCCAGCATCCTGGCTCTCCACGTCTCTGGTTCCCCATGTAGCTCCAGTTTTTTCCAGTATCTCCTTGTGGTTGAAATCCCCCATTATGAGTGATGTGCAGTGTGTGTTGTGAGCGTGGGGATGTGTGTGTGTGTGGTGTGGTGTGTGTGGTGTGTGTGTGTGTGTGTGTGTGTGTGTGTGAGTGTGTGTTTTGTACTCACCCCTATTTGTACTCACCTATTTGTGGTTGCAGGGGTCGAGTCCTAGCTCCTGGCCCCGCCTCTTCACCGGTTGCTACTAGACCCTCTCTCTCCCCGCTCCATGAGCTTTATCAAACCTCGTCTTAAAACTGTGTATGGTTCCTGCCTCCACTACGTCATTTTCTAGGCTATTCCACTGCCTTACAACTCTATGACTGAAGAAATACTTCCTACTATCTCTCTGACTCATTTGTGTCTTCAACTTCCAATTGTGGCCTCTTGTTTCTGTGTCCCCTCCCTGGAACATCCTGTCCTTGTCCACCTTGTCTATTCCACGCAGTATTTTATATGTCGTTATCATGTCTCCCCTGACCCTCCTGTCCTCCAGTGTCGTGTGTGTGTGTGTGTGTGTGTGTGTGTTAGGCAATTAGGCACTAACATTTATTTAGACAGCCATAAAAACAGCTAATCAGAAAGTCAAACTATCAGACAGTCTTGTAGTCACTTACTCACAGCTATACAAATAGACGTCAGATGGCCCAAAAGTCAAAAAACAAAAGTCTAAATGGCTACACAGAAAGATACACATAAATAGTCCGACAGCCAGACATCTAGAGAGAAGAAAAATAAGAAACTCTCATTTTAGCTACAGATACAGAAAGAAAAGTAGAGAGATTACCAGGCACATAAAAGACACTATAAACAGTTTTTTCAGCATCACAGCAAAGAGGGCAGATCCCCGAGACAGAGTTCATGGTACCCACCAATTAGCATTTTAAGATTATACCAGTAGAGTAAGATGCACTCTGGGAGCCAGGTGGAGACCGCCACGTACACACAATCTGCTGACATACTACCCTGTCATCCCACACGCCACTTTCAAATCCATGTCTTCAGGAGGGATACTTGTCTCTCCTACGACAACCTCTCCCACGCCACCTGTATGGTTGCCAGGGAACGCCCGCTCGACACAAATTAATTCCTCCTTCAGGAGATACCTGCATGGGAAGAGAGAGAGAACATTCTGAAGGAAGAGAATGAAGGAGAGAATAAATGAAAAGTGTAAGGAGATACGAGGTGCGGAAGACAGAAAATATAGTAAATACTTCTCTGTAAATAAAAAAAATATAATAATAACTACAAGTATTTCGAGTGTTACAGGACCTGAAATACGTCTAGTTATCAACATGGAAGGTTTCCTCGTATTGCAGAGCCCAAGTCCCTGTATCTCGGTACACGCAATTAGAATGTACATATCTGGAGGATATGTAGATTCCAGTCTACTGGGTCTCATCCTGGGGGATCAAAGTCCCCACTGCCCATTCCTTGACTAGGGTTCTCTGTGGATTAAAGCCTGAAGAACCAGGCTGTTACTGCTGGTCACACGTGGTCCAACGTACGAATCATAGACCCACTGATGGTATACTAAGTTTAGGTATCTGTCCTGTCGAGTTTCCTCTAGAAAGCAGTCTATTGGTAATTTCCCTTATGCAGTGTGTGGCCTAAGTTTGTAATTCTGTTAAATATCAGCGTTGAAAATTTGATATAGAATTTCGGATTTTTTTTTTTTGCATTTTTATAAGAGCTCAGTTGAAAATAATTTCGTATGTTGAAATTTTTGAAATTTCGGCACTATTGTCTCCAGCTCAGAAAATGGTTGGTATTGTTAATGGAGTGTTCAGGCGCCATTTTGCAAATTTAATCTCTAAATGGTATAGTACTGAATTAAATAATGTGTGTGTGTTTCCATGATGCTGGTGAGGGCTTTAGATCCAAAAAAGTGGATCTATCCTCCCTTTCCTTGGATCTAACCTGATTACCTCCCATTCTGTAGGAGCTATATGACCGCTACGGGTTTAGTGCTTTCCTCTGATTAAACTAAACAGTATTTAATGGCTACAGTATTTAATGGCTAATGTATCTTATGAATCAGATTTTTTTTTTTTTTTTTTTTTTTGAGTAGGAACAAATTTTGTTGGATTCCTTGTAATAACTGAAGAATACATCTCGTCGTCTTCAAACTTACACTGCCAATATATTTTCTTAAAGGGAATTATCATCTTGAATTTAAATTATGTATCATTATTATTATTACAATCCAAAAGGGCTTTTTAAATTATGCAAGTTTTAATGTACTAATTTTGTTCAAAAAAAAATCGTTTCCGTGAAATAGCAGAAATTTGTCTCTTTTGATCACAATAAAAGCCACAATATTTTACTTTATTAGGTTCTCGTAACATCTGAGTTGAAGGTCATTGTATGTTAGGTGACCAAGGACGACACAAAATTAACTTCTAGACTTAATCATTTACTTACCTATATCTTAAACATTATCAGTCTTACTTAGAGACACAGTCTGGAATAATTTTGGATGTGATGCTTCTAAATTTGCAACTTTTATGTAAGAAATAGAGAAAGTTGAAATACTGATTTTTATATGATAATTTTTAAATGCCTCCGACTGGAATCAAAACTTCAAAGCTGGTAACTTCTTAATACTTCTACACAGCTTTAAATTGAGTATACTGGGGTATTTTAGGAGTCTGGTCTTTGGTTATAACAAAAGTTCCTTCCCGTTTGACCTTACAACTTGTATTTCTTAGTTATGGGTATGAATTAGACTTGCTTGTATATGCTCTAATTTGTCATTTTTATCACAGAAATGAAAATATTAGTGTCCATGTGATAACGTACGAATACCTTTTCTGATTCATTTCAAATATCAGCGTTAATATTTAACTGCATTATAAACCTGTGACAAATGCACTATACCTGTTGCAAGCATCGAGTTGCAAGGAGCCGCCATTATCCAAAATTGCTGTATAAATATCGGATATGGCTGCAACCAAAATACGTCAAATCAGGACAACAAAAGCGTAGGATCATAAGACTAGAAGAATGAGTAGCATAAACTTAATTAGAATATGATACACGCATTTTCTCCCTCGAATCCTTCATGTTTCTATTTCAAAAGAAAAACCTATAAAATTTTTTTAGAGGATCAGCTCAATCTGATGTCTAACTGTAATCTCGCTTGAGGTTCTGGATCATGTGCTCCAACTACCTAAACTCTGGGTATGGAACTTTTGAGCGCCTTATGATCGTCCTTGTGTAACCAATATTTTTGTGTGTACCTGCTGTCCCTGAAGCAGTATTTACCTAGTTCACTCAGGTTAAAGGTTTCTCCTAATTTCAATACATTTTCTAATTGAAATCTTCATTTATCTATCAAACAACATTGTCAATATTCCCAAATTATGAACTTCAGCCTGGTTAAAAAAAAAAAAACATACCACGAGCGGGGCTTGAACCCGCAGTTCGTGAGTCGTAAAACTCCAACCGAGCTTTAGCCACTGGGCTAGTGGCCACAAAAGATTCATCCAACTGGGTAATTTAAAACCCCCTTAGGAAGGAGATGGGGCCCCACTGTACCACAAATGCAAGTTTTTACAGACGAACTCTAGCTCAAGTTCCCTCAAAACCGTCATCATTCACGAAATCGTAATGACACAATTAAAACAAACCATACCAGGCTAACGGTGATTTGGGAAATTTTTACGATTCCTAACCGCGATTTCAGTCTCCCCGGGGTAGGGTTGGTTTCAATCTGTTTTTTCGTTTGGGAAATTTTGACCTTGATTTTTTCACCTGTTCAAACCTCACATATCATAGGAAATGCTAGTGGTGTCTTTCTAAATGTAAAAACATACAAAACGCATTTAACCCTGTCATAAAATTGATGGGCCTATTGGGCACTTCCAACCCCTTTTGTGACGATCCAAATGGACATTTTCTTCCCTGAGGGGGGGAGATTTTCCCCCAAAGGCCCCAGCAATTGCAAAGCCCTTTATCTGACCCTAGTTATCCCCGTTTTTTTCAACCGAAAGAAGTGACACAGGGCCCAAGCTGAATTACAACACAAAAAAAATACTATAACAAAGTTTAATAAAAAATTTTTCCAATTAGAAGTTAAGTCCGAAAATAATAATAATCACCTCTTGGGGGTTAATGTTTTTTTCCTGTCAAAATCTTAACTAGAATAGAAAACACTTGTATAAGTCAAAAAATAATTCTAATCAAAGGGAAAAAACTATTTTAAAGGATACAAAAAAAAATTTTTTTAAAAGAAATTTAGTATTCCAGCCAGATCTAAACCCACTGGCATTTAAGAAGCCCTTCCCATGAAAGCTTCAATCAAGTTTAAAAATAAATTTCGTTTTCCGCACCCTTGTAGTCTACGATTAATTTATGAAAATTAATAAAATCCAGCAAGTTTACTTAGACAAAAATTAGGATAATATTACTGTTTAAAGAGTGTAAGCAATTTAATACCTAAAATAATAACAATCTCTTTCTAAAAGTACATGTAAAAAGGCGTGTGTTTGGGTTCGATTCCGGCGGGGTTTAAAAAAATTGGCCGTGTTTCCTTAACCTGTTGTCTATTTTCCAAAAACCCCAGTAATAATGGGTATTTAGGTGTTAGTAGCCCGGTGTGGGTGCCCCTGGGAAAAACTGACCAAATTTTGGGGGAATGCTCATCTTAAAAAAGGGGCTTTCTATATGTGGATGTCATTGATGTACTATGGTCTTTCCTTGTACATTTTCTTGTATAGTCCCCTTGTACATGTATTTTGTGTACCTTGTAATGTACTTTTGTATACCTTGTAATGTACTTTTTTGTCCCCTTTGTACATGTATTTGTTTCCTTGTAATGTATTTTGTAACTTGTACATGTACTGGGAAACCCCTTGACATTATGTTCCCTTGTACAGACTTGTATCCTTGTAAATATTGTATCCCTTGTAAATACTTGTATCCTTGTAAAAGTATGTTCCCTTGTAAAGTACGGGTTTTACCTTTACATGTTGGGGTTTTCCTTTGTAAAAGTACTTGTATACTTGTCAATTATTGTATCCTTGTAAAAGCTTTTATTGTAAAGTTTTTGTATCCCTTTTTCAGTACTGGTATCCCTTGTTTTTTAAAACCTTGTTTTACTTGTTCCCTTGTACAAGTACTTGATACCTTGTACATGTACTTGTATACTTGTCAAGTACTTGATACCTTGTACAGAACTTGTATCTTTTTAATGTACTTGTATCCCTTGTAAAAGTTTGTATACGTACCTTGTCATTATTGTATACCTTGTAATGTATTTGTATATTGTACATGTCTTGTTCCCTTGTACAAGTATTTGTATACGTACCTTGTAATGTACTTTTAAACCTTGTCATGTACTTGTATCCTTTACTTACTTGAAAATTTTTTTGTTCATGTATAGTATATTTACATTTTACTTGTATACCTTGTACAAGTACTTGTATCCCTTTACATGTACTTTTTTACCTTGTACAAGTATTTGTATCCTTGTACAGTACTTGTATCCTTGTACAAGTCTTGTATACGTCCTTGTCATGTACTTGTATACCTTGTACATGTACTTGTTCCCTTGTAATGACTTGTTACCTTGACATGTACTTGTATAACCTTGTACAGTACTTGTTTCCCTTTGTACATGTTTTTAACCCTTGTAAAGATTTGGTTCCCTTTGTACAAGTTTTGTATTTGTACATGTATTTGATAACCAAATACTGTTTTGTATCCCTTGTACAAGTACTTGATACCTTGTACATGTACTTGATACCTTGTACATGACTTGTATCCCTTGTCAGTACTGATACCTTGGTACAATATTGTATCCCTTGTAATGTACTTGTATACGTACCTTGTAAATGTACTTGTAACTTGTAATGTATTGTATCCGTGTACATGTTTTGGTAAAACTTGTACATTCTTGTATCCTTTTATACTGTATTTGTTACCTTGTACATGTTTTGTTTCCTTGTACAAGTATTGTATCCTTGTACAAGTATTTTTAAAAGTACTGTATTTGTAACCTTGTACTGTACTTTTTTAACCTTGTACAAGTATTGTATACCTTGTCATGATTTGAATCCCTTGTACAGTACTTTTTTCCCTTATAATGTACTTGTATACCTTAACATGATGGTATCCCTTGACATAACTTGTTATTGTACATGTACTTGTATAGTACCTTGTCATGTATTGTATCCTTGTACTGTATTGTTACCTTTTTAATTATTGTATCCTTGTAATTACTTGTATCCTTGTACTGTATTGATCCTTGTACATGTTTTGTTCCCTTTGTACTATACTTGTATCCTTGTACTTTTTGTTACCTTGAAAATTACTTTATACCTTGTACTGTACTTGTATACTTGTAATTCTTGATACCTTGTACATGACTTGTTACCTTGTCATGTATGGATCCCTTGTAAAGTACTTGTTGAAATTTTAAGATAGTTATCACATGTATTTGTAGAAAAAAAAGATATATTACTTTTAATAATGAACATTAATACATAAAAAGCCCCTTGCATACGGGTATTTTCGGCAAAAATTTGGTCAATTTTGTCCCCGGTGCGACCCCCCATCAGGACTAACACCCCCGGTACCTATTTTCCCGATGGGTGAACAGGATACAGATGCATAAAGGAAACGCGTCCCAATGTCTCCACCCTTTTCCCGGGATCGACCCCCCGACCTCAGTGTGTGAGCTGGTGCGCTAGCAACAAGCTAACTAAAATTTTTTCTATTAAACTTGTAAATACAAAGTAATAAATGGGAGCAATGTCTCAAAAAGGGGAAAGTAACCCGGTAAGAAAATTTTTTAAGGATCTGGGTCTTTTTTGTACCTGTTATTTTAAACCGCTGCCCCCGTTATTACACCTGCCCGCGTTTTATCCAACACCCCCTGCCTGTTACCAAAAACTGCTGCCCCGTTATCCTACACCTGCTGCCCCCTGTTTCCCAAAAACCTGTGCCGCTGTTTCCTAAACCCCGTGCCCCTTTTCCTAAAACCGCGCCCTGTTATCCTACACCGCTGCCGCGTTATTACCCGTGCCGCTGTTATCCTACACCTCTGCCCCTGTTATCCTACATGCTGCCGCTGTTACCTACACCTGCTGCCGCTGTTACCTACACCATGCCTGTTATCCTTCACCTCCGGTGTTTCCCCACAAACCCGCGCCCGGGGTTATCCTACATGCTGCCCGGGGTTATCCTACACCGCTGCCGGTGTTTCCTACACCTGCTGCGGTGTTATCCTACACCTGCGCCCCCGGGGTTATCCTACACTGCTGCCGGTTTATCCCCACCCGTGCCCGGTGTTATCCTACACCTGCTGCCGGTGTTTTTTTTACCCTGCTGCGGTGTTTTCTTAACCCGCGCCGGTGTTATTTACACCCGCTGCCGGTGTTATCTTCACCCCGCTTTCCCCGGTGTTATCTACACCTGCTCCGGTGTTATCCTACACCCGCTGCCGGTGTTTTTCCCACACCTGCTGCCGGTGTTATCCTAACCCCTTTCCGGGGTTTTCTTACCCTGCTGCCGGTGGGGTTATCTTTTTCACCTGTGCCGGTTTATCTTAACCTTGCCGGGGTTTTTTCCTACACCTGTGCCGGTGTTATCCTAAAACCCTGCTGCGGTGTTATCCCACACCCGTGCCGGGGGTTTTCCTAAACCTGATCCGGTGTTATCCTACACCTCTGCCCGGGGTTTTCCTACCCCCTGCCGGGGTTTCTTTTTCACTGTGCCGGTGTTTTACACCCGCTGCCCGGTGTTATCCTACACCTGCTGCCGGTGTTATTCACCCGCTGCCGGGGGTTTCCCACATTGCTGCCGGGGTTATCCCAACCTGGCCCCGGTGTTTTTTTTACACCTGCTGCCGGGTTATCCCAACCTGCTGCCGGTGTTATCCACACCCGCTGCCGGTTTATCCTACATGTGCCGGGTTATCCCACACCGTCCGGTGTTATCTTAAACCTGCTGCCCCGGGGTTATCTTCCCCTGCTGCCGGGGGTTTATTTTACACCTGCTCCGGCGTTATCTACACTGCGCCGGTGTTTTCCCACCCTGTGCCGGGGTTTTTAACCTGTGCCGGTGTTATCCTACCCTGCTGCCGGTGTTATCCTAAAACCTGCGCGTGTTATCCTACACCGCTGCCGGTGTTATCCACACCCTGCTGCCGGGGGTTATCCTACACCCGCTGCCCCTGTTATCTTCCCCCGCTGCCGGTGTTACTTACACCGCTGCCCCGGGTTTTTCCTAACCCCCTGCCGGTGTTATCCTACATGCTGCCGGTGTTATCCCACCCTGTGCCGGGTTATCCCACACCTGCTGCCGGTGTTATCCCACCCCCGCTGCCCGGGGTTATCCTAAACCGTGCCGGTGGGTTATCCCCCAAAACTGCTGCCGGTGTTATTTAAAAACCTGTGCCGGTGTTATCTTACACTGGCCCGGGGTTACTTACACCTGCTGCGGCGTTATCCTAACTGCTGCCGGTGTTATCCTAACCTGCTGCCCGGGTTATCCTAACCTGCTGCCCGGTGTATCCCACACCTGTGCCCGGGTTTTTTCCCACCCTGTGCCGGTTATCCCACACCCGTGCCGGTGTTTTTCCTAACCTGCTGCCGGTTTATCCTACACCTGCTGCCCGGGGTTTTCCACACCCGCCCCCGGTGTTATCTTAACCTGCTGCCCGGGGGTTTTCCTACATCTAAAGCCCTTTTCAATGTGGAATAATAAATACAAAGAATTTTGGTAGCTGTTGTGGGATATATGAGAGAGAGAGAGAGAAGAGAGAGAGACAGAGAGAGAGAGACAGAGAGAGAAGAGAGGACGAGAAGAGAGAGAGAGACAGAGAGAGAGACGAGAGAGAGAGAGAGCGGAGAGAGAGAGAAGAGAAGAGAGAGAGATAGAGGAGAGAGAAGAAGAGAGGGACGAGAGAGAGGAAGAGAGAGAGAGAGAGAGAGAGAGAGAGAGAGAGAGAGAGACAGAGACAGAGAGAGAGACTGACTTAAAATGAACCCAACATAAATAAGCCACATTGCTAGTTCTTGTTGTAATATCCTGGATTATTAACTCTCCTGAGTTAATAATCCAGAGGTTTCTTTATTTTAACATAACATTTCTTTACTTATTCTCATTAAAATCGTCAGCAATAAACACTAGCTTCTAACTGCACAGTCTTAACATTACCTTGAAGATAACTTCAGGGGTGACTGTCGGTGAGGTCAAGTTTGAGTCATAGTAGACGTAATCCACATCACCATACCTGGTAATTAACATAATTATTAATTTAATAATATTAGTAATAATATCTTTATTAACAGCAGCATCAATAGTAACAGCAGCATCAATAGTAACAGCAGCATCAATAGTAGCAGCAGCATCAACAGTAGCAACAGCAGCCTCGGTAGCAGCACCAGATTAAGAGTATTAGTAGTATTACTAGTATACATTTAAATTTTGTGTTTGTCATCTAATACTTACTGTAAACCATACATAGTTATTTGCTGACCCACCATCTCACAGCCTCTCAACTATCTCACACTTAACTATTAACACGGTGCCTCAGTGACAGACACCTGAGAGATCCTCTGCGAAAAAGTGATGTAATCCGAGAAATATGCTAATTTGTCTCAGGAGAGATCCTACATATACACTAGGAGGCAGCAATGAGGTTACATTTGTGAAAACACTATACAGAAGTGAAAAAAAAAATTAAGAAAGTAGCATATGGCATCATGGTGGAAAAGGTTGGGTAACCGAAGCATAAAGGGTTGGTGGCATCAAGTTTTGATATTGCTTATGATAATTTTCATAAAAAGGCAAAACGCTCATATTTATAATCTGCACATAGCAAGCAGCATACTGAATCACAATTAACATTACAAATCACAATATAAAAATGAACTGAAAACTGAGATGAGGTGCTCCCCAGCACACATGTGACTAGTGAGTAGAAAGTCGGTCATCAAAATTCCTGTGTAAAGGGGTTGAGGAAAGTATGAAGGAAGAGAAAAAAATGGCAATGCAGGGAAAAAATAGATACAGGAGGATCTCATAAAATGCCTGTGGACCAAACAGATGGCGAGGGGAATATATAGGAGGGAAAGAGTAGTGGCGTATAAGTGATAGAAGAGGACTGTAACAAGCCAGCAGGGTAGAACTAGGAAAAATACTGGAGGAAAGATAAAGTAAAGTAAATGACAATGTGGAAATTTGTCTGGACTGCCTCCTTGTGAGCTGCTCTCCTGGCAACTACTGTTGACACAGACACCCTGAGATTAGTCCTCTCAGGCTTTTATGACATTCCATATGCAACTGCTCTTGCAAGAGATTCCTAACTACATACACGAATAAAGTACTAACTCAATTGGTGGTGTAGAGTCCTCTAGTCCCGCACGCTCAGGACACCACATGCAGTGACGGACTTATCTGGTCTTCGAGTGTCCATCTGCTCAAGGCCCCACAGATCAACTATAACCCACGTTTCCCCAGAATATCATTGGCTAACTAATGCTTAGAGAAATGAAAGGTCTAGTACTACTACTGATGGGGGGGGGGGGAAGGTAAGAGACGAATATCCAAGGTACTTCAGGAAGCCTCTATAATTTTGTGCTCTCCAGGCCAAGTGCACGAATGCCTGTTTTCCGTGCTGCTTGACACGGCACTTCTTGTCTCTATGGTGGCTGTTCTTGAAGGCAGTAACTGGCGTCTCTATCACTCCCACCTTCATTCGAGCATGAAGTTGCTAGTTTTCCTTAGCTAATATAACCTAATATTTCCGTATATTAAAGGCCTAAGCCTAGCTATGTTAAGGTCCTAAGGCTACAATATTAACATCTAAGGTTAATTCTCTAATTCTAATATTTGTTACTAACTGTATAAACCTACATACAGGGAAGAAAGCGAGAGTATCGGCTGGCAAGAGGAAGAGGGATGATTAGTTGGTTATGGAGGACAGCGGGGCAGCTGATAGGGCAGGGGTAGAGGGTAGCAAGAGATTGAGATAAAAAGGGCTGTGGGGAGTGCTAAAGGCATGATCAGAGTTTGTAGAGCAAATCAGTTGTCAAAAAGTCACTGAGAGAATCCGGATTAAAGGAGGGTCCGTCAGCAAGAAGGGAAGGTAAAGAGAGAGCAGCAGAGCGGAGACGAAGTTGGAGGTAAATTCTGCGGGCTCGTTGATAGAGTGGGCAATCTAACAGAATGTGACTAACAGATACTGGACCATGGCAATTCTCACAGAGAGGAACAGGGCGTCTCTCCATGAGATACCCGTGAGTAAGACGAGTATGGCCAATACGAAGACGGGAGAGAGAGTAGTCTCCCAACCTCGACACTGATGACAAGAAGACGGCCAGTAACCTAAACTCGGTTTAATAGAACGAAGTTTGTTATTGAGCAGATCAGACCAACGTTGTTGCCAATGGGTGTGAAGGTGGGTAGCAATTACAGCAAAACAGTCCGTGAATAGAACACCACTATATGAAACTGGAAGGTCATGTACTGCTGACCGCACAGCAGTGTCTGCCTGTTCAATCCCCTGTACATCAACATGACCATGCTTGGTAGAGATACGGTGTAACCAAAGTTGGATACGGAGAACCAGGGTGACACAGGCATAGATGCAATACGGATAAATGCTACAAGAATGGCATACAATTCAGCAGTAAAAATGCTAGCCGAGGATAGTAAATGTCCACGCACGACACTGTCCGGAAACACTGCTGTGAATCTGACGCCGTCAGAAGACAGAGCCATCTGTGTATACAGTGATAGCGTGAGAATGAGAGTGGAAGTGGTCAAGAAAAAGAGACTGGGAAGCTACCATAGGCAGTTGGGTTTTTGCGCAAGGGAGTGAGAAAGAACAGACTTGAACAGCTGGAACTTCCCAGGGGGGCAGGGAAAAGTGAGATGCTACATGAACATAGAAAAGTGGTAACTGAAGGGAAGATAAGAGCGAATGGAGGCGAAGAGAAAAGGGACGGAGTAAACAGGGGCGACGAAAAATAATGTCTACTAACATCGGTGACTATTGTATATATGGTAGGGTTGCGGAGATCGTGAGAACGAACATAATAGCGAAGGCAATGGGCATCATGGTGATCAGACAAGGAGAGAATATTCGCTTCAGCACAGAGGCTTTCAACAGGGGAAGAGCGAAAAGTACCAAGGCATAATCATAATCCCTGGTGATGGATAGGATTAAGGCTAGAGAGAGTAGCAGGAGAGGCCGCTGAATAGATCTGGTCACCATAATCGTGTTTTGATAAAATGAGGGCTGAATGTAGGTAAAGGAGAGTTCGACGATCAGCTCCCCATGAAAGATGAGCAAGGGTTTTAAGAAGGTTCAGCCGGCTGTGACAAGTCACCTTCAGAGAGGTAATGTGAGGTTTCCAGGATAACCTACGCTCAAAGAGAAGGCCTAGAAACCTGACCGTATCACGTTCAGGGATATGTGAGCCATAGAGGTACAAAGGATGATCGGAGATGACAGAATATTGGATGGAAGAAGAGAGGCCAGATCATTTATAGCAAGGAGAAAAAGTATTGTGCTCAGAACACATCCCTGGGGTACACCTTCAGATTTGACAAAGTCCGGGGAGAGCATGTTATTAATCTGAACACGTAAATGTCTGTCAATTAAGAAGTTCTTAAGGAAGGATGATAGATTGCCTCGGAGGCCTAAGGAGTGGGCTTGGGCTAAAATATTATACTTCCAAGTTGTCATAAGCCTTCTCAAGATCAAAAAAATATGGCAATAACTGAGTGGTTATTTGCAAAGGCATTACGAACATACGTATCCAAGCGTAGTCAAGGGTCTATGGTAGAATGACCCTTTCGAAAGCCATATTGACTTGTGGAGAGACTGTTGTGTGTCTCTAAATAACACATTAAACGTCGATTTACCAGACGTTCCATCACTTTGCAAACTGCATTAGTAAGAGCAATGGGATGATAGTGGGAGGCACCATGTCCCGTAGTACCTGGTTTACGGAAAGGGAGAAGAATGGCAGACTTCCACAGCTGGGGAAGTACTCCCTGTGACCAAATAAGATTGAAAAGAGGACTGTAAGGGCACATTCATATTTGGATGTTGCAACATCCAAATATGAATGCCGTTAGGTCCAGCTGCCGATGATCAGCAAGCTGAGAGTGTTCCCTTCAGTTTCGGAAGTGTGAAAGGCCAATTATAAGATTCTTCTTAGAAAGATGAAAAGTCTAAGGGTGCTAACGCTCTGGCAGACCTTAAAGAAAGAAACGAGGGGCATAGATGGAGCCCTCATAGAGGAAGCAGAGGTTATGGTGGAAACAATCTCGCTAGCAAGTGCATTTAGAGCCACAGATAACATGTCGAGCGACTGCACGCTTCTGCTTAAAATCAAGAAGTCTCTCAGTGGTTCTATTGTACCGGTACCTACCCCATGCAGCACATTTCAATCGTATTGCACGAGCACAAGCAGGAAACCAACAAGGTATGCACTTCTGAGAATGCCTGCCCATGGTTTGGGGTATAGAATGAGATGCTGCGGTTGAAAATGAGGATGAGAAGAGGTGTAAAAGCTCATCAATGGAGGACGAAGAAGGGACCTCACTAAAAGAAGTTAGTTGCGAGTAAAGGTCCCAATTTGCTTGAGCAAATTGCCAGCGTGGGCTATGAAGTGGTGATGAATATGAAAGGGAAGAAAGAATGATTGGAAAATGATCACTGTCATGTAAGTCTGGGAGAACAGACCAGGTGAAGTCTAGTGCAGTGGGGGAAGAGCAGACTGAGAGATCGATGCAAGAGAGAGTATGAGTGCGAGGATCAAAATGGGTGGGAGTACATGTACCTGTATTTAAAACATGGTGGGGGTGAGAAGCGAGAAAAGCCTCCAACTGAATGCCATGGGAATCACAGCGAGACCCCTCCAGAAGAAATGATAAGCATTAAAATCGCCTAGTAACAGAAGTGGTGGCAGTAAGGATGAGACAAGAAAGGCAACATCTGGGATAGATAATGTCAGAGAAGAGAGATACAAAGAACAGATTGTATATCACTTATGCAAGTGGACACGGGCTGTAGTGTAATGCAGTGAAGTACGAACAAATAGCTGATGGTATCTATCATCAGTGTGTAGAAGAAGGGCACTTTCATTAAAGGTCCCACCAGGAAAAGTATCTGAAGAATACAGTAAATTATAGCCTAAGATGGGATAGATAACAGCAAGCAAACACCAACAGGGGAAAACCGGGAAAGCAACTTCTGAAGCTCACCCTGATTACCCC